TTGTGTTTTTCACTTCCCTTCTTCATTACCTTTGGTAGTGTTTGGTTACTGAGACGGGTCATCAGGCCGGTTGTATTTCGATTCGCAGGCTAAGTGACTACTTGGACTTTTTGCATAGGTAACGCCCTAGACAAGGGCTTTTTCAAAGTTAGATGACTTCGAGTGGGTGAGCCATTTATCAGAGGTGATTGAGTTCGAGTTGTCCGTTCAAATTTTTCATGGAGAGACCTTCCATTGCTCGACGAGTTTTTTCTTTTGTTGAGAAAGTGGAGCTGAATACGGTGAGGAGTTAGGCTAATTTGGATTTTACCTTGAAGCAGGTCGTTAGAGGCAGTAAACGGAAAACTAATTTTCTTCATTGCCATGAGGTATCCTGAAGAGTAGTGTCTCGTTTCGTACCCTTGTTGCCATACGTTAATTAAATGTACCGGTGATAGACTCTACACGCCCAGATTCTGATCCTATGAGTTGAAATTCATTGTTGAAAATCCAAGTTTTAGTCCCTGATACATGGTTGCAAACTCTTTTCTTGGTTGTTTTTCTATACAAAGTTTCGCATCAGGTGTAACATTTTCACACTTTCCATTTTCCCATAGAATTCTAGCATGATTCAGTTCCTTTTTTTCTTTTTAGAAGCCTGGCCACAGTGTTCCAACTAGAACGAGAGCAATCTGGGGTAAGATTACGCGAGTCCATGGAAACAGTGGAACCGTTCGCGCAAAGTTCCATCACAATCTCCCCCCGAATGCTATGGGCAACAGAATCCGTGTGGTGAGTTATTGAGCACAATTTCCATTATTGCTTGATGGTACTTTCTCCTTTTTATGCAGTGCTTGGGGGACTTTTAATACGAAGTTCCGGAATCAGATTTACAGGGTTTCCCCTTGATTTCGGGTTAGCGGAAAAAAGATTGTTTGTCCCGTTTATGGGGCATCTTTGAGATAGAGGCGTTGGTACGAAAAGTTGCATCTTTGGTTCATTATTCCTAAGAATGGAGGAGGAGTTGTCCAATTAAGCATGTTTCAAGTTTGTAGTTCTGTCTGCCCTCACTCTCCTACTCTTTAGAATCCGGGCCAGGTTTTGGTGGCAGATTTAGGCGGAACATGTCGCAGAGGTCGTTTTACCTCCTCAACACCAATACTATCCTGCCCTTCGCAGCAAAAGTGCCCTAGCCGTAAACCGGGCGCCGGCGCCTGTAGCGAGCGCATCGAGCTTTTTCACACCGAGCCAGCGTAAGAGTTATGCTCACACAGCTGAAACATCCCTGGGATACCAAGAAATTGGGCGCCCAAGGACCGAAGGCACTGACACTTCGTTTAGACGGATGTGAATAATTTCATGATCATTAAGATCACCCCCCCCCCCTCCCTCTTCTCCATCCGCATATCCGAAATCCTAGCAAAAGCCACCCACTGGAGAACATATCGATCGATAGTTGGTCGGGATTTTGAAGGGAAGGGCAGCAAAGGGTGAACTGCGCCAGATTTTCTGGACGTTGCCCCCCCCCCTTCCCCACAAAAAAAAAAACAAAAAATGTTTCTTTAGAACCATCCGCATATCCGAAATCCTAGCAAAAGCCACCCACTGGAGAACATATCGATCGATAAGATTGGTCGGATTTGAAGGAAGGCAAGCAAAGGGTGAAGCTGCCTCAGATTTCTGGACGTTGCCCCCCCCCCCCGCCCCAAAACAAAATGTTTTTCTAGAGAAAAACAGGGGCCTGTGATGTAGGTCTTACGGGCTGTTTGTGCTCTCGCCGGAGGGTCCAGGGGTATTTTCACGAGGCATCTAACGCAAGTCGCAGCTATGTAGGGGACACGGTAAAGAGGGAGGGATCTGAAGGAAGGAAGGAAGGAAAAGAAGGAAGGAGGAAGAAAAAATGAAAGAGAGTAGAGGCTTCCCGGTTGACAAGTGCCCTGAGACGCTTGATGTAATCGGTAGGGAAACGGGAACCATTTGAGTAGGATGGGGCATTTTGCTGCAATATTTCTTGCTAGTTACAGTAATCCCAGTCATGCAGTGTGAGTCCTTTAAAGCTGCCATCTGTTACTATCTTCATTGTAGCCGATTTCTTCGACTAAAGTGCTCACCTTAGTGAGCTAACGCCGGGGAATTTCTTTTTTTCTTCTTTATTGGGGTTAAAATATCTACTTTCTGTTCTTACCTTGTTGATTTCTTCTTTTTAGATGCTGTACCCATCGAACATCTAAATTCGGCAGATATTTGTTATTGTTACGTTATCCGATTGTTTGCAAATAAACGGTTGGTGAAATGGTGAACGAATTGGACAGAAGTATTTACTGAACCCGGAAATGTAAATGATAGGCCAAAGTTGTTAAAGCTATAGAAATCTACAAAATGATAATAGTAATCAAGCTGAGAAGGACAACTGTCGATAAAATAAATAGGGATATGTGGCGGAGTCAGCTTGGTGGGGGCACCAAATGATGCTCAGCTAAGTTTTTACAGGACACACGTGAAAACTTGTGAATTCCTGTGACGAAAGTGGCTCACTAGTTCGATTTCGATGGTTGACAGAGGTTTATTGGTCTGATCACACACTCAGTTCCTTCTGTTGGTTCGGTTAACATGAACTAACTGAAGGAACTAACGAAGATGCAAATTGCCCCTCCAAGCCGACAGCGCCGGATGTGTATTTGGCTATGTTAGTCAAATTCTTGGGTAACATTTTGTGCATGGTGATACTGTTTGCGATCTTGATAGTCGGGATTTGATTCGTTGAGTTGTTCGGTGAGTACGTCTTTGGATGGTCCTTCCTAAAAAAAGGCAATCAGGACGAAGAAGTACTGTTGGTGGTGTATCTTTACTTACCCTTGTCAACACACTGGGCCCTCTATTGAACACACCAATGGTTTCAAGTGATGAGAAGGCAGTGCGGAACATATGTGGGATAGAAAATGTTGAAATTCCTGAAATTTGATGCTTTCTTTGAGAAGTGAGAAATTTCGGATTCATCCAGCGTCTGGCAGCCGTGACGCGAACGCACGCGGCCCAGACTGGATGCCGCCAACAAGGTATGAATAATTCACCTGGTGTACATGCAGGACAAACACGCCCAATATAATAGTAGAGCAGTATAAGTACGGCGAAATGGGCCACAGCAAACCAGAAATGAATGAGGAATAGGATCAGTAGGTTCACCATGAACTGAAAGCGATAAAGTTGACTACTGTATGTTGCAAATTAAAGGAGCTATGGTGATCATAGCAATTTGGTTCGGTGTGGGCGGTAAACTTGGAGAGGGGGGGGGGTCTTAGCCCATTCTGGGCAAAAGAGACTTCAGAAGTAGTTACTGTTTCAAGGGAAGCGAACTTAAAGACATACTATACGGTGGTGAGGTGGGAATAATGGCGTTTAAACATGAGAAATGAGGTTAGCAACTGGCACCCATAAAGAAAAGAACGGAAAAATCCGCCGAAAACGTCCAAGTGAGAGCACTTTCTTTCTTGAGACCTGTACGAGAAAGGGTGCGCTTGGACGAGTATTCTGAACTGCTTGCTTCGAGCCAGCAAATCGATGGAGGGTAAAAACAAGCGGCCACCTGCATAGAGCGGGCCGTCAGGTTGTTGTTTCTGTCTTCGCATCAATTAGCGCCCCAGAAATGATATGCTTCTAGTCAATCCGTGCCTATCTCGTGCCTGAACTGTGCCAATGCAAAACTGGTGGTGGGCCACCTGCGGCTAGATGAAGCGTAATTATCGGTTTAGGGACGTGAAGATGGCAAATCCTCCCGCAGTGGCCTTTCCTCGGACGGCGGGGGGGATGGTTGAGAAAAGAGGGTTTAGGAGCTACTCAACAGGGACTGATAGGCCACACGTGGTTTTGCAGCCCACTGGAGCTCAGTCTTGTTTGCTGCAGATGTATAGGCGTGCCAGAGGGCTGGTTTTGGCGCGACACTAAGACATTTTCACCAATTTCGCGTTCGCGTTGCGGACCTTCACAGGTAGGAGAACTGTTTGTAGGGCGTTTCTGCCCCCCCCCCCCGCCCCGGACACGCCCTAGAAGCAGCCACCAAGGCTGCAATTCTGTAGGAACAACTGATCAAAAAAGTTCTAAAAGTAGAAACGCACTCCAACGAACGAGACGTAGCGATTGCTGAACATCGAGTACCAGGTGGCTGGTTGACCAACGATTCCGCCAGCCTCAACGGTTGCTGCGCTCGGTTGCTGTTGCTGCTGCCGCTCGGGGAACAACTCGTCCAGATCACCGATTTTTTGCATGGAACCGTATTTGATATCGCCCTCACTGCAAATGAGACTCTAGTGCGAAACCTTGCCCAAATGAAGAATCATTCGGCGGAGTTCGGCTTGGTAGGGACACCAGTTAGTACTGCACAGGTCACCCGGTTAATTCTTGTAACCAAAGCGGTGTACTTGAACAATTTCACAAGAGTTTACAGATCTCACCAAAATGGAACCTGTTAGTAAACATGAACTTGCAAAAGGAACCAGTGAAAGTGCAACATGCCCCTCCCAAGCCGAACAGCGCCAATGATTCAATATGTGTGGTACTTACGCGACATGGCTAATAGTGATGAGATCGTAGCTCATCGCCAACGATACGTAAGCGTAATTCACGAAAGCGTAGGTGATGAGAAAGGGCATTGTGGATAGAATAGCAAGTTGATTGAGATCACCAAGTAGTACGAACACCGACGCCACCGCCATCAGCACCACACCGGCCAGCACGGGATTCTTGTTCGCGCCAGACTGAAAAGAAACAATTATTGATTATTTTATAAGTTTAGGATGATTGGGACTATACAGTACTCGGAAACTGCGCCTGAAAGAAAGAACTCAAGTCCGGTAACCACACAGAACATCTCCAGTGCGCGCAGTAGTATGGAAATAGGAAAGGCTGCGGATGTCAGGCGTCATTTTCGCACTCATGAAGCCGCACTCGCTTCCCAGCCTCAGCCGTTAGGGTCTCAATATCTGTCAACCGCGGGGTATCCCTCCTTCCTTTTTCTTCCTCTTCCTTTCCCTTCCTTCCTTTTCTTTTCCCCCTTTCTTAT